AGGGGTCTGTTACATGCGAGCTGTTGTGCTGCCCGTGCCGCTTGCTCTGCCAGTGTCAACTGACCACTGGCCCATAGCTCGAGATCTGTGGGTTGCGGGGGCCTTGTCAGCCGGATTCGGCTACTTGTCTCATCCGCCGGTGCTGCCTCCCCGCCATTGGTCTGCAAAACCACAAAGGCTGCCCACATGACCGGCCATGTCGCCAGCTTGCTTCGTCTCCGGCTTCTGGCATATGGCCGCTGCCACCTAATGGAGGCAAATAGCGCCGAGAACTGCGTAACAAGGAGAAGCCACATGAGCGTTCTGCTCACCATCTCTGCTGCCTCAGCAAATTGCCTAAGCACCCTTTCGCATTCGGGCGACCTGCCATCCTTGTCCTGAATCTTAGCCTTGACATTGTCCGTGGTGTCACTGAACTCAACAGCTAAGGTGATCGTCGCACACATCATGGTCTCGACAACGATCTGGGTATTGCCCCTCAAGCGCATCACCTCGCGCAGGATAGGTACCTTCTGGATGTCGAAATCATAAAGGGAACGACCATCCTCCAACTGTTTGTCAGCGGAGATCAGGCATTGCTGGTTGAACGAGGCGTCTTCCTTGTCCTGGATCTTGGTTTTGACATTGTCCCTGGTGTCACTGGCTTCGACTTCCAAGGTGATCGTCTTGTCCATCACTGCCTTGACACTGATCTGTAGGCCTCTTTGCGAGCCCATCCTTAAGTGCGTGATGGATTCCTTCTGGACGTTGTAGCCTGACGAGATATAGCCTTTCTTCATCTGCTTGTCGGCAAGGAGCAGGCTCGGCTGGTCATGCGGGATGCCTTCCTTGTCCTGGATCTTAGCCTTGACATTGTCCACGGTGTCACTGGACTCAACAGCTAAGGTGATCGTCGCGCACATCATGGTCTCGACAACGATCTGGGTATTGCCCTTCAAGCGCATCACCTCGCTCAGGATAGGTGCCTTCTGGACGTCGAACTCATAAAGGAGACGACCATCCTCCAACTGTTTGTCGTCGGAGATCAGGCACTGCTGGTTGAACGAGACGTCTTCCTTGTCCTGAATTTTGGTTTTGACATTGTCCCTGGTGTCACTGGCTTCGACTTCCAAGGTGATCGTCTTGCCCATCACTGTCTTGACACTGATCTGTAGGCCTCTTTGGGAGCCCATCATTAAGTGCATGAGGGATTCCTTCTGGACGTTGTAGCCTGACGGGATACAGCCTTTCTTCATCTGCTTGTCGTCGAGGAGCAGGCTCGGCTGGTCATGCGGGATGCCTTCCTTGTCCTGGATC